CTCCCTCCCTCCCTTCCTTCTCTTTGCCCTCTCTTCCTCCTTTTTTCCTTCCTTCATTCCATTTTTTAAAATTAATGGACTTTATATTTAAGGCAGTTTTAGCTTTACAGAAAAATGAGCAGAAAATACAGAGTTCAGGATCACTAGGTGGCTCAGCAGTTTAGTGCCTGCCTTCGGCCCAGGGTGTGATCCTGGAGTCCCAGGATCAAGTCCCACATCAGGCTCCCTGAGTGCTTCTCCCTCTGCCTGTGTCTCTGCCTCTCTCTCTCTCTCTCTCTCTCTCTCTCTCTCTCTCTGTGTGTGTGTGTGTGTGTCTCTCATGAATAAATAAATAAAATCTAAAAAAAAAAAAATACTGAGTTCTTGTACCAACCCTCAATCACTGAGCCCCCTCTCATTTCTTCTGTTTTTAACTTCTTTCATCAGTGTGGTAAATTGATTACATTTGATAAGCCAATAATGATACATTTACTAGGGCCCATAGTTTGTATTACTATTCACTCTTTATGCTGTACATTATAGGTATTTGACAAATGTATGATGCCATATATCCATCATTTCTCTCTGCCCCTTTTTGAAAATTCTTCCTCTCTCCTTTAATTCCTTCAACTAATTACCTGTTGACTTGTAATTAGCCCTGACTTTAACAAAGTAGAAGTATCAAGTGTAAATAAAAGTGCAAAGTCTGCAACAGACTAACTCAAATGTTTATGTAAGAGAGAAACAACAGAGACAATTCCCATATTGCATAATAAAAAGCATTTCCCTGGAAACACAATAAAGGCAGGCAACTTAACAGTTTTGGACAGCTCAGAAGTTAATGTTTTCATTAGTTTGAAAGATTAGGGTATATGCTAGGAAGTGCAAATATTATCTATTATTCACCAGGGGTATGTTTGTTCCTCAGAGGAGAGGTGGGAGCTGCACTTGGAGGGATATGCAGTAGTCTGGTAATGAAAGGTATTAAATGCTATGTTCAAAGTTAGAAAATTGGCCAAAGTTAACACTGCTTCAGGCAATTGGCTGGTGATTTGACAAAGAAAAATAAATGTTAGGTTGTTACAAATGTCAAAGGAGAAAAGAAGGGGGGGGGCAGTGTTTTCCCAAATATTAAAAAAGAAAATCTCAAACTAAAGCATGACAACACACAAACATTTTTGAGAATTTAATAAATGTAGACAAAATGTAGAATTCAATTGAAGTGCCTGGTTTTCTATATAAAACTTGAGAATTCTGACAATCTACTGAGAATGTCATCTTTCTTTCTTTCTTTCTTTCTTTCTTTCTTTCTTTCTTTCTTTCTTTCTTTCTTTCTTTCTTTCTTTCTTTCAGGTTTTATTTATCATGAGAGACACAGAGAGAAGCGGAGATATAGGCAGAGAGAAGCGGAGATATAGAAAGAGAGAGAAGTAGGCTCCCTGTGGGGAGCCTGATGCAGGACTGGACCCCAGGACCCTGCTATCACACCCTGAGCCAAAGGCAGATGTGCAACCACTGAGTCACCCAGGTGTCCTGACATTTCTAATAACATAGCGATATTGTTTTCTACTATGTTAATAAGAATCTTAGAAATAATTAGTATTATATAGATACTTCCTGTTAAAATTTATAATACATTTAACGACCTTTTCAAGTACACCTAGATCCTTGTATTTCATGTCAGTTTGAGGGAAATTTCTATTCACTTCCCTCAGATTTCGTCATGAAGCGTTTTGTTCCAATCAGCCCCTTCTTTATTGCACTTTATGCTAAATCTTTCTACTTCCTGACCTGATTGGTGTGTGTCGTATATTGTTTCATGTTCCTCTGGATGAACCCAATCTAATGAATAGCTACAAACAACAGAGTTATTTTTCTCTTTTGTTTTTCCTCTACTCCACTCTACTTTTAGGAAAACTCGAAATATATCCAACTTTCTACATTAATATTTTCCTAAGAAAGGCTGTTTTAAGCTTCAGGGTAGAAGTAGATATTCAGATACTCAGATGTGAAAACCCTTTCAAATGTGGAACCACTTTCTCCAATTAGCCTGCAAACTATGGCAGAATATGCTACCCAAAATATACCAGGTTGGCATAAGGATTATTTTAAGAAAAAAGCACTTGAGAATCAGCAGGTACAGGAAGGTCATTCTAATTTCCTTTTCTGTCTGAAACCAGGAGATAAAAACTCCTTGTGAAAGGTGCCCTCCCTCTACCAAGAGAAAAGAAACATTGTTTGACAGGGAGGCAGAAACAAGAGAGAATTCTGTACAAATAGACCTCTTTAAAATAATTCTTATCTTGCTCTAGTCTCCCCACATAGTTGCATTACTTTTCCATAACTGCTTTTCTTTGTTCCATCTAGTATAAAAGAGTCTATCTTTTTTTTTTGAAGGGTTTTTTTTGTTTGTTTAATACATCTGAAAAGAATGCATATACAAAGAATTGAGACATGAGAAAGCATTGGTTCAACACTAATGAATCTACAATAATTAGGATTTGGGGAAGGGGGAGAAGATTACCTAAATATTTTTAAAAATTGGAAACTGCAACCAAAATAAGTGGATAATATCCTTATTAACACTTATGAAGAGTCTTCATAAGACTCCATGATTTTTTATTAAATTAGAGAGCCTTAACTAGCTACTCTAGGGTTCCTCATATGCAAAACAAAAATAAGAGGATTCCCCTGACCAGTCCCCATGTTGTTAAATGTTCTCCCCACCCTCACCCCTACCCCCAGCTTCTTCATGAAGCAGGTCTCCATCCTCCCAACTTAAAAGAGGATGTGCATCATTCCATAGACATCTGTCTCCTAGCGCCACCTCTCACATTTCTTTGATTCACCAGGTCTTCATTTGTGTTCTAGGAACACTGTTATCATACACTATTAAGCTGGACATCTATGCTAAGCATATAAGACAATGACTGACAGGGAAAAAAATGTTTTTTAATTACATACTCAATCCATTTGGTGTATTTCAAAAGGTGCAAAGAGTCTATCTTATGAAAGCTCTTCTATCACATTGAATTTAAATCTGCATGTTGTTCTGTTGATCTTTCTTATGTCAATTTAATTCTTAGGTCCAATGAAAAAATCAAAAAGGGTAGAGGGAAGATCTTGACTCCCTTACATCTATCAGAACAAGGCAGGCATTTACGTTTCTATTTGCCTAACGCACTATCTCTCTCCTCTTTGAGGCTAGGGAGAAAAACAAAGGATTGTTAGCCACTCTATTATATAATATTTTTGGTGTGCTAATCTAACATAAATTACTCTTTTGAGAATTTTTAGAGAGAATACCCTATGTTAGAATTTTGAGTGTATTCTTGAATTCCCATAGTTTCATTCATTTAACTGTTGACCTTGACATTATTTAGATGGGATAATGGAATATTTAAACATATATTTATGTAGACAGACTCAACTAATTATATTAACTTTTCTTCTTGAAACTAGCATAGATGAAATTTTAAAACAGTGACAATAAGTCCTATCAAAATGAGAAACTAAATTTATATTTAGGATGTGGCTTTATGAAATATTTTATGTAGCGATATAGATACATAACTTCAGATCCAGACAGATCCTTGGGAAACAGTCAAAAATCACCTAGATGTAATTTGAATACAGTAGGAATTGTGACCTAATAAGAGAAAATGAAAGAGAGAGAGTGAAAGAGAGAGAGAGATAGATATGGGGGTAGTGGGAGAGAGTGTTTAATCAAATCATAAAGTAGAAACAGGTTCCTGCAGAATTGTGTAAAAATGTAAAATCTGATAGAATTATACCAAAATGTTACTAGGGCAAAATAGGAACCTTTAATTTCTAACCCTGGTAAATATAACATTGTCCAGATGGTAAAGGTTGGTAAATATTGTTTTAGCATGCATGTGTGGGGAGAAATTTAGACATGTTTATCTCCCTAGCTCAAATATGACTAAGATACTGACATGACTTGAACACAAAAATATGAACAATGAGAACCCAATTGTGGTCCCAGTTTAACAACAATAAGAAGTTGGTCACTCTGTGTGTATGTGTATGACAGTTATCACCCTAAACTAAAATTATCTAGCAAATAAGTGACCTTAGTAACCTCAGCTCTTAACCTCAGTTCACTTTGTTAATTCCAGTTTACTTGGAATATTGTAATTATATCATTAAGGTTAAGATATTTTTAACTCTGGAAAGGTTTAGAATAAAATATAGAGATGATGATATAAATCATAGATACATTAATGATATACTTTTGGTTAGGGATAATATGTGTATTTGGAATAAAAGTATAATGATTAAAATAATTACATATCTTAGAGACTTGAAAAATTTAGTTTAGCTGTTTTATTAAAATGTGTAATTGAGGGAACCCTGGGTGGCGCAGTGGTTTAGTGCCTGCCTTTGGCCCAGGGCACGATCCTGGAGACCCGGGATCGAATCCCACGTCAGGCTCCCGGTGCATGGAGCCTGCTTCTCCCTCTGCCTGTGTCTCTGCCTCTCTCTCTCTCTCTCTCTCTCTCTCTCTCTCTCTCTGTGTGTGACTATCATAAATAAATTTAAAAAAATGTGTAATTGAGTGATAGATTTTACACTTCATATTTTATTTTAAAGTTTAATTAAGGAGCACCTGAGTGGCTTAGTTAGTTAATCATCCTGCTCTTGATTTTGGCTCAGGTCATGATCTTGTGATTGTAAGAGCAAGCACTGGATCTGGCTGTGTGCTAGGGTGGAGCCTACTTAAGATTCTCTCTCGCTCCCTCTTCCTTTGCCCCATCTCACTCCCTCAAGCTCTCCCTTTTTTTCTCTCTCTCTCAAAAAAAAAAATTATTTTTTTAAGTTATATGAAAATTTTAATCCCTGCAAGCAACACTGGAATGTTGAAGACAACTTGAAAATCTTTCTAAATTTACTATATTAAATTTACTGTTATGGATTAAATAATTAGGATTAAAGTACCAGTCACTGAGATTTTAAGAGAATTTTATGTTGATTAAAATAAATATAAGGTGCTCCTGAAGCCACCACCTCTGCTGGAGGCCACATCGGGACCCACGCTGGAACCATGTTTCCAACCAGTATGACAATGACGTCACTGTTTGGAGCCCTCAGAGCAGGATTCATCACATTGAATATGCAATGGAAGCTGTCAAACAAGGTTCAGCCACAGTTGGTCTGAAATCAAAAACCCAGGCAGTGTTGGTTGCATTGAAGATAGCACAGTCAGAGCTTGCAGCTCATCAGAAGAAAATTCTCCATGTTGATAACCATATTGGTATCTCAATTGCGGGACTTACTGCTGATGCTAGACTGTTATGTAATTTTATGCACCAGGAGTGTTTGGATTCCAGATTTGTATTTGACAGACCTCTTCCTGTGTCTTGTCTTGTATCTCTAATTGGAAGCAAGACCCAGATACCAACACAACGGTATGGCCGGAGACCATATGGTGTTGGACTGCTTATTGCTAGTTATGATATGGGCCCTCACATTTCCCAAACCTGTCCATCTGCCAACTATTTTGACTGTAGAGCCATGTCCATTGGAGCCCGTTCTCAATCAGCTCGTACTTACTTGGAGGGACATATGTCTGGGTTTATGGAGTGCAATTTGAATGAACTGGTTAAACATGGTCTGCGTGCCTTACGAGAGACACTTCCTACAGAACAGGACCTAACTACAAAGAATGTTTCCATTGGAATTGTTGGTAAAGACTTGGAGTTTACGATTTATGATGATGATGATGTATCTCCATTCCTGGAAGGTCTTGAAGAAAGACCACAGAGAAAGGCACAGCCTGCTCAACCTGCTGATGAACCTGCAGAAAAGGCTGATGAACCAACGGAGCATTAAGTCACAAACCAGTCTATATGTGTATTATCAAATATGTAAGAATGCAGGAGCCCTTACTGATGACAGTAATCTATACTTTGAACCAAAAGATGCAGCGTGGTCTTCTGGTATGTTTTAAGAATCGGTCCAGATGTGTTTTTCCCAAGTAACTTGTCTGAACCATATAATGGTGTGCATTTTTCTTTGAGAGGATCTATATAATCATTTTCTAGAAAATATAGTTATCTGTACTAATGTTTTTATATGAAGAACATAGTGTCTTTGTGGTTTTAAAGACAACTGTGAAATAAAATTGTTTCACCTGCAAAATAAATAAATAAACAAACAAACAAACAAATAAATAAATAAATAAAAGTTCCTGATTCTATCAGAGTAAATTGTAGTACTTTACTCCTTTAGAGAGTACCTTATAATTTTTTTTTCTTTCTTTTCCTTTAAAATTATGTTTTATTAGGCTAAAGTCTTTAATTTGTATACTTAGAGAACACACTGAAACTATCAGAACTCCAATTACATCATCTTTAAAATGAGACTCTTAAATCAGATGATTTTTAAATGACCCTGCACTAAATGTCAGAAGCAAACAAAAACATGAAGACTATAATTCAAAGACTTAAATCTGTTAAGGGACATTCTTTTTTTTTTAATTGTAAAATTATATTCTTACACATGGCTAAGGAGAGATTGCTTCCTGCAGAGAGACAAGAACTGAATGAGAAGTTGTGCACTGCTGAGGGTCCTCATAGTCCCCACCCAACCACTGAGCACCTCCTTGATCTTTCAATTAACACCAAAACAAAGCCACCATTACCTCATATTTTTGGAATTTGAAGTAATGTCTTGCTAGTGTTTGATATACATTTTAAAGATGAATTCAAACTGCTCCTTTATCAGACTGTGATTGATTCACTTTTTATTCAGTAAAATAGCTAAAATGATCAATTTTCTCAGACTTTAGAACATTTAAATGCCTGTATCTGCAGCTGAAAATTGTCCAACTTTATAAAAAATTCTGAACCTAAGTTTGAATATTTATTTTTATATGTGCGCATGTTATGCTCTGTTGCTGAAAAATTATCAAGTCAAATGTTTATAGAAGATTTACTGTCATGATTCTAAACATTTAACCTGATTTTTTAAATATAGCTTAAAATCTGGCTCTAAATCTTCCATCTCAATTTGTTACTTTAATGTTTTTAAGTTTCTTTTTTCATTACTATAGATTGCGTTTAATGTGCTAATACTTTATATTAAAAATAATATTGTTTTATAATCATATTTTAAAATATTTTTTTAATACTTTAATTTACATTTTATAATGATTTTATCATGTTTCTTGCATTTGAAATGTATGTTAAATTCAGTTGTCTGAAATCTGTGAGGAATCAGGAAATGTTTATCTCCACTTAGTCTTTTACGAAGGGTAATAAGCTGCTTCTCAGCTGTATTAGACTAAGGAGTTAGATTTAAGAGGAAACAATCTTCAAAATAAAATACCCTTGTGGCTTTCTATCCCTCAATTTAAGAGTTAGTCTTGACTTACTCTTCCAGTATACTGCAGATACTCTCTCCTTTAGCTTTCACCAATTTGAACTACTAGAAATCTGAATTTTCGTTTTTCGTCGATCCATGTGGATTTTATAACATGACGGTAGTCTCTACTCTTTGGGACAATATATCTTCAATTTTGTATAGTTTTGTTCCTGACCATTTTTGTTGGTTTCCTCACAGTAGTATCTATATTACTTTCCTACTGCTGCTATAGCAAATATCCACAAATGCAATAGCTTTAAAAAATATAAATTTATTGTCTTACATTTCCAGAGACCAGAAGCCCTACATTAATTTCATTCAATTAAAATCAGGGTGCCAACAGGGCTGTTTCCTGCTGGAGGCTGTGAGAGAATATTCCATGCTCTTGTAGCTCACTGCATTATACCACTTGTAGGCCATTCCTAATCTTCAGAGTTTATTACTCCAGTCTCTGCCTCCAACATTGCATTACCTCTTCTTCTCTCTTTTATACTTGAACCTCCTTCTGGCTCCCTTCTATAAGGACACTTGCAATTACATTTAGGGTTACCAGATAATCCAAAATTTATAATGTAATTTTTAAAAATAGATACCGTAGTAGGTGTGTATCCTACCAACCTACTACAGTTGGAATAATATTTTGAAAAATTCTTCTTCCAGTCCAGAATATGAATAAACTATGATGGTAATCAGCACAAGATTTGAGAGGTTTATGTAAAAAACCACTTGTTAACTTGGTGTCAGTATTCAAGCACAGTGGGAGCTCAAGCACGTTGTAAGTGTTGTGCTAAGTTAACTCATTCATAGGGGGTAGCTGCCATGCCCCCAGATAGTCCAGCTGCAGCCAAATATCTTCCTGTAGATTCTACAAGTCCTAGATGAGATGTATGGGCATCTCCAGTTCTGTAGCAAAGGATGATAGCAATTCTTGAACTTCACGCATGTCATTGAGAGAAACATGCAGGTTCATTCAAGAATGTTCTCCCTCGTCCTCATAGTCCTGCCTCATCTTATTGCTTCTGTTTTGTCCTCATTGGTTTCAGTTTATCATCTTCCTTTTTTCACACCCATCCTTCCTTTAGTTGCTGTCAGCTGCTGTCTAAGTTGACCTATAGAATCTTCAAACCCACTGTTAAATTAAAGCAGAAACAGTATCCACCAAGATACTTTTCAGTCAGCCCCTACTATTTTGTAAGAGTTCGTATCTGCAATAGATCTCTTACTTCACTCATATTGGTTCTGCTTCTCCGATAAAGTTTTGATAGATAAATATGCTGCTTTTATAGCAATAAAAACAATAAGAAGCTAGAACCTAAAAGTTCATATTATCTTAGAAAATACTAAAACATTTTAAAATAACAAATAAGGAAAACATTGGAGTCTCTTGATGCTCCTATTGTGTGAAGTCAAGTCTTTGACTAGAACCTCTGATCTTGCTTTGACCAAAACTCTTATCACAAACCATCTACAATTTTACTCTAGGAATCCTGGATCTTTTACCATATCACCATAGTATTATATCCAGAAAGTTTAGGGCCTAATTGAGACTGATAATGAACAATTTAAATCATAGTTTTACTCTAATTTATGTAATTTTGTTTTCATTAGAAGCATCTTCTTGTATATGGTAAGACAGATGGCTGCCTTTAAATAGTGTTGATATAGGGGATCCCTGGGCAGCTCAGAGGTTTAGCACTGCCTTTGGCCCAGGGCATGATCCTGAAGTTATGGGGTCAAGAGTCCTGTGTAGGGCTCTCTGCATGGAGCCTGCTTCTCCCTCTGCCTGTGTCTCTGCTTCTCCCTCTCTTTGTGTCTCTGTGAATAAATAAATAAAATATTTAAAAAATAGTGTTGATATAAACTTAAATGATAAAAGTGTAATATCAGTAACATGAGCTCTTAGGAAAATAGTCAAATAAATGGAATTGATGATGGGATAGGATATAAATGTGTTAGAGGATGGAAAACCTGTTGAAGCAAATGAAAAATTAGAGAGAATATACTTGAATAAGCATACTGCCTTAAGAGGTTGCAGTTGGAAGGTACCTTGTTTTTGAGTTTGTGATTTAAGAGAAGATAGTTTGATGAAAAATCCAAACTCAACACTGGATATGGGTTATTGAAGGGAAATAGAAGAGAAGGACTGTGACGGGGGGATGGGCTATTTTCATGGATGTCTAAATAATATATTTTAATGGAAGGTGTTTTAATATAGTAGAAGAATATGATAACAGGAGCTTAAACTATCAAAGGAGCATAGAAGGTTAGCAGAAGGTAAATCAATACTTTTTATATAAAGGTCATGGAACACAATAGAAACAGAACACACTCAGAGGAATCTGAATTTTTTACTACATGATTTTGAAAATAGTATTTGGAAGCAGGGGTGATACTAGTGCCATTTCCATACTCTGAGTTATATGTAGCATGAAAAAAAAACACTTTTAGGTGGTGAGGAAAATGAGAACCATAGTGATAGTAATAGTTTAATAAAAGCAAGGAGGAACATTCAGGGGAATATTTGTTGAACATAAATAGAGGTTTCGAAGTACCTTCTGGAAAAGTTGGTCAATTGGAGGAAAAAGAGTTTTAAAATACATCTAAAAGCACAGATCATGCTATAGGAATTTAAATTAAATACCTAATTACCAACATGGTACAGGCACCAAATAATCATAACAGATTCTGACTAAAGTGACCAGTAGAGCCATACTTATTTTTAGTAGCTGAACATTAGTGTTAGATTTCTGTTCTAGAAATAATGGAAAACTGGCATTTAAGACGGTGTCATGGGGGCTCCTAGGTGGCTCACTTGATTAAGTATCCGACTCTTGATTTCAGTTCAGCTCATGATCTTGGAGTTGTGAGGTTGAGCCCTGAGTCAGGCTCCACACTCAGGAGTCTGCTTTGAGATTCTCTCTCTGCCTTTCCCTCTGCCCTTCCTCCCCTACCCCTCCTTCTCTTAAAAAAAAAAAAAAGGCAGTGTCATAAAAACAAAAGGAATGCCAGGCATGGGTATTGTAGTAGAGAAGAGAACACACAGGTTTGGGTTGATGAAACTTACATTAACCATCATCATATAGTGTTGATAGCTACAAGTTGTTACCATTTGTGTCAGCAGTGTGCAAACACAATAGACTTAGATAGTTTTTTCTCTTTAGAAGCATCCGGCAGTAATTTTAAATAAAACCACCCAGAAAACTTTTGGGAAAGCTATTCCCATGGTGATAGGAAAATTTCAAAGGTCTGTTGATTGATGGGGACTCATAGCTTCCCTGATCAAAATAGATGAGAATCTCATCTAAATATTAAGTATTCTCTCTAACTGCTCCTCATTTGTGTGTGTATTTGAGAGAGAGAGAAATTGAGAGAGAGAGAAATCGGGAGTATGATGATTTTGATGGTCTTTTTATTTTTATATTTTTAGCTTTTTTGTTCATAAACACTATTTCTGTATTCTCTTATCACTTTGCACATTTGGAATCATCTATGAAAACCGTATGGTCATTTATACTCTTCTCTACAGAAAAATGACAGTCATTGTAAAGGCCAAATCCTCAGAAGAGC